TTCGACTGAATTGGTAGCACGGCTACCTCAGGTGGTGTGGGCCATCAACCATGAAACCACCCGTCTCACCATCAAGAAACCAGCCGATGCTATCAAACTAAAATCAATAGTGGCTGAGTCGGCTGCACCATCGCGTGGGAAGGAGAAACAGATACCCGATAGGGCCCTCGTGAGGTACCTCTACCAGCCTGGGGAACACGAAGGGGACACTCGGAAACGAGCCACCGATCCGATATGGTCAGTCAAAACTTACAACATAGATAAAGTGGACATCAAAGCTGATGATCCGAACTTGTATTACTTGAGAGATGGGCCAGGGAGAGGTTTCGTTAGAGAGGAATTATTAGTCATACCGTACGGCACAATGTTACCCCCCAAGCCAAATATTTAACACTTACTGTTGAGTAATACCAATAGTATCCTGTATCACATTAAACTGTTTCCTCGAGGTCAACATGACATGTCGCATGATCAGGAAAGTGCTAGTCCGCTATCTCAGGATAGACCCGTTAAACTGAGATTATTCAGCTAAGTCCCCGGTAGCTCAATCGGTTGAGTGGTGCAGCCCATTATGTATAGTTTGCGCGAGCTATACATGTGGGTTCGTATCCCGCCATTGCCTCAGTGGAGATTCCTTACAACTTTGTGTGATGTGAGGTGTTTCGGTAAGGAATCAGGATCATATCAGTTGGGTCGCTGCAAAGGGCTTAGCTGAGCGGGGCACTCTCATGGCGAGAGAAAGGCAGCCGACGCAATTCCCCTTGGGAGAAGCGCAACATCATCTTTCGATTTCACCCTTGGGGAATTGTCGCTGCCGGGGACATTTTACTACTTTTTAGAACCTTTCTATCTTTCTATAGGTATATTCGCGGTCATAGTGACACTATTGTGTCACATGGGGTCGGGAAGTTAACTGGGGGTTCAAAAGTGGTATACATTTGGGGCGAGATCTAAGGGCCTGGCAAAAGCTTTATTTGTGAAATAAAGCTTTACAGAGCCTTTTGTTGGACTTGATCTCGGACAATCATTGTATATACTACTAAGTTAGTCAAAATAAATATCTGTCAGCGATAGGCAGTAAAATAACAGACTAGCACAGATGAACACTTAGAAACAAGCTTGTAATCATGAAACGATATTTCTATATAGAAAACACAAAATATAAAAGGGGGCTATAGTAAGAGAGTGAGTCACGATTTAAGTCACATAAGTCAGCCATATCGTGACTGAAACAAATTATACATTCTTAATGCATACAGTTACATTATGAAGAAAAACATGTGTCAACGAAGGACAGTAAAACAACTAGAATATCAGATATATACTATTCCAAAAAAGAAACGCATAACCCAGAAATCTGTTGCGGAAATATTGCATTTTCAAACATGTAGACAAATAGACTTTAAGAAATGAATCTTTACATCAGTTTAAAAGAAGGTAATGACTATACAACCAAGTGGATAATTTTAGATAACGGAGACGTTGAGCGCGATGATGGCCACGTATCATGGTCACGACGTCGGATGTCCTGGCTCTCAGTCCAGTCTCTCTCAACCTGTTCCGTACAGTTTGACCGGATATCCTCCGAAGTCCAGGCACCCTGGCAGCTGTGCTCTCACACGTGGCAGTATGATCACGCAAATGTAGTACAGATGTACCGATCTTGGACTGCAGTGGTGACTCGAGGTCTGCTTGTACGAGGACGGTCATTTGTTATACCTGTTTGGTTGTAACGAACTGCAAGCAGTGATATCGTGCTCAGACTAACCTTCAGACGCCTGGCAACAGAAAATTGTTAATCTCCAGCGTGCTTTCTTTCAATGGCGATGGTCCGTGTTGCAGCGTCAAGATTTGGCGTAGTGATTTGTCCTTGAAATTCCTTCAAAACGGATGCCGATTTCCGAAAGTAATCTGGATTTTTTATAGCCAGGCAGTGCATGCTCTTTGCTGCACAATTTCAACTGGAAGGTGATTTCTGTTGCGTACTGGCGATGCCTTTTTAATTCTTGTAAGAAATCTCATCAAAATCGACATTTTCAGGTAAAGTCGACTTTTCACTTGTGCAATTGTGTAAAATCATGTTATCAACACTTTTGTTACATATTTCAAGATTGTTTGAACACAATAAGTAATTAAAAGTTTTTAAAATTCAAAACGCCTATGCGTTTCTTTTTTGGGATAGTATATTAAAATAGGACTGCTATGTAAATCTAAAACAATTAACTATAGAAGACAATACAATATAAAACAGACAACAGATTGCCAATAACTGTAGCCAGATCACCAGTGCTGGTGTTTGAATGGATATATGTCACACAGTACCCAACAGTATGCTGAGCAAGCGATTTGATTAATAATAATAATAATGTGTACTTCTATAGCGCTAAATTCCATACACCCAGTGCATGCTCGACGCGCATACAAACAGACAGTTCATTATTACCCCGGATAACCAAATCTGCCTGTGAGGTGCTAGAAGGTTATAGTCACATGACTTATCCCACGGGGAACCCATTTTCTGCTGGGTGAACAGAGGCATGTTTCAACAAACTAACTTGCCTAAGGTGAGACCACATGTATCACATGTGCTTGGTGCCGACCCGCTTTTATTATGTTTGTGCAATCTTTGGAATTAACGTTTACCGATGCCTCGTGTTGTGAACATGTTGACTATTGTGACCTTTCTACGTGAGTAATAACTCAACTCTAAGAAAATTTTGTTGATATACATTCACTGTATCACCCAATGATCCTGGGGCACGTCAACGAGAGAATCGAGCGATGATGACGTGGACGACTTTATCCTCGGTTACATTAAGCAAATGCAACTTTGCAAACAGAAGCACAACTTTAGTATGCGAGCACAGATGAAACTGCACAATCCTTATTATCTGGCGGTTTCAAGTATCCAATGTTAATGGTTTCCGAAATAAAACGCACATTTTTACCCAGATATCAAGAAGTTGAACAAACAATTTCAGTCCTTTAATGAAAAACGGCTGTCTGCTCGGACATACATGGGCGTAACTGTCATAAAAGGAAATAGCCAGTACTGTACATACAATCTTGTTAAATACAACAGATGTACATTTGGGGGCTTTATAGTGAGTGAGTGAGTGAGTGAGTTGATATTTATTGTCACATCGGCAATATTTCACCCATATCGTGACGAGAACAATTGATGATTATATCATGTAATGATGAATAATCAATTATCAGTAAAGTTAGAAATTAAAAGCCTGTTGACGAAGAACAGTAAAACTACTAGTGTATCACAGATATCCATTTAAAACTAGTAATTAAATCTGAAACATGTTAACTAGAAAGGACAAGACTGCCAACAACTGAAGGCAGATCACCATACTAGGGACCTTGGGGACTTACACTACATGTGCTTCCTGCATGGACCCTAGCTGGATTTACACCATCCCTTCAGCCGTTAGCAGTTTAGACACATTTAGCCATACATTAAAAAGACACATATTCTACGTTTAATAAGGTTGGATAGATTTAAATTGACTTTGAATGTTTTTGGACTTACGTACCCTCTCAGGAGGACAATAATTTTACAATACTTCAACCCCGGGGCTTTATAAAATTGTACGATACATTGTATTGTAATTAGCTTAAATATCAGTTATTGTCTATACTGATGGTTCGTTTCCAATCCGCATGTCGCTTTGAGTTAACAACCAAGACGGCCTGTGTTCCGTTTAGTATTATTTCCCTTTATGAAACCCGTGAAGATCAGGGTTAGAATTGGTCTTCAGCAACCCATGCTTTTCGTAAGAGGCGACAAACGGAATCGGTCGGTCAGGCTCGCTAAATTGGTGGACACATGTCATCGTATCCCAAATGCGTAGATCGGTGTTCCTATTGGTGATCACTGGATTGTCTGGTCCAGACTCGATTAAATACAGACCGTTAGCTGAAATATTGCTACGTGCGTTCAACAAGCAAACAAATAAAGATGTCTCGATGTTAAGACCATCAACAGGAGAAGTTTGAAAAGATCCAAGACAAACTCTGAGACCTTGCTGGTGGATAGAATCTAAATCGTTTGCAGGCTCCACCATAGGCGATGGTGCCATAATCGAGTTTAGAACGAATAAGTGTATGGAGAAGCGTATATTTGTTCCTCAACACATGGAGACAACGTTAAATAAATCAAGTGCCTTTAGGCAGTTATGTCTTTGAAATATTTGAAATGTGGTCGAAAGATCAAATGTTCATTGAAAATAATACGGTAACCCAAGAACCTGTCCCCTTTCACAATATTTAATAAAAGTAATGTCTAAAATGTATTCTGTGTCGGGCAATAGGAACACTGTTCCTGGTTCCTGTGCCCTCAACCACCGGAATGACGTCCTCCACCGACACAGGGCCTTTGGTGACCAGCAATTGGGGTGCTGAGGGCCTATTCTGCCCCGGGTCCACTCGGAGGGAGAGCTTTTAGCATTACCCAATACTCACTACGAGGAGGTTCATAAGTGTGCCTGTTGTAATGGGGTTGTTTTTTTGTCCCTCTAGATATTTTGGTGGGTAAAACTGCTATGTAATGCTTGTGTTATCAAACTGGGACGCTTTGACACGAGCTTTAGCTGGTTCATTCTGCTGCGTAATACTAAATGTCAGTCGGATCTAATCGCATACAGTGTATGTAATGCAAAACACAGAGTCACTTTTACAGTTTAGAATAGGTGAGATTCAAAAAGAGGACAGCAGGCAACAATGATGGATATATTCGCCTTCAGTCCTACAACTGTGTTGCTGTGTGTGGCCGTGCTAGTTTTGTTATGGCTGCTAACGCGGCGTCCCTCAGGGCTCCCTCCCGGACCCCCTCTCCTCCCGTTTTTTGGGAATGTCCTCTCCATGGGCTCCGATGCCCGGATCACGTTTAAAAAACTCAGGCAACAATACGGTGACATATTTTGTGTGTACATATTTCACAAACCACTCATCGTCCTCAACGGCTACAGTACTCTGAAAGAAGCCATTGTCAAGAACGCCGACGTTTTTTCGGACAGGCCGCACTCACTCCTAAATGACTTCCTTACAAAAAGGAAAGGTAAGTTACAGAACATGCCTTCCATGAGTGAAAACGTTTGAATTGATGCCTTCTGATTTCAAATATTTCTTAAATACGTTTTTAACATTTCGTCCTGTGGTCCCCACATAGCATCTCCGCCTGTCATAGCAACATCCTCTGGGGATCTGAGGTAGAAGGTTTACTTAGCTCCCCTTTGATTGTCGTAAAAAGGCGATTAAATTGAGCTGTGTGTTCGCAGCGGTTATGCCCCTGTTTCACCTGAACAGGACAGATTCCATCAGTCTATCTGCTATCTAATAATTGATAATTTCTACCTATATAACGCTAAACGCAGACATAATGCTTATGGTGTAAAGTCCTGGACTTATAGCTGTAATTTATTGAAATTAGTAATCATTTCTCTACAATTTCACTGTACAATATTATTGGAATAACTTGTCCCTTTGGGGAATTAATTGGGGATATACCGTGCAGTTTTTGGTTGGTGGACAAGCTATGTGCCCTAGAATAGACTTTTTCGGACACATACATGTCCTCAAGGCATCCATATTTGTTACCTGGTTTTCAATTCCAAAATCTGACTCCTTTGGGGCTCTGCCACTTTGTTTTCTCGAAGAATCTGGCTTAGTTATACTTTTCCTATGAATAATGTGTTGTACGTTTGTGGATGAGTGTAGGTTCAAATCCCGGATGGGACTCATTGGTAACATTGATGTCCAGAGTAATGTAATTTCAAGTGGTTAAAGTATAAAGTATTTGCCCGCTCAGCCCTTTCAAATGCATTGGTGAAACATATAGAATCATTATTTATTGTGAGACAAAGACTCTGTTCCTAAGTATGCCTTTCTCTTTGGTTGGTGTTTTTATATTCATACTGTTCTTTCTTACCTTTATCATACAGGTTTGATTGCAACCTCTGGTGATCTTTGACGCGAACAAAGACGCTTCGCCCTCAACACTCTGAGGGAGTTCGGAGCAGGCAGGAATATCATGGAGGACAAAATACACGAAGAAATCTCACAGTTTCTCGAGGCCTTCGAGACAGAACGGGGACAAGGGTTTGACTGCCAACGTCTGGTGCAAAATGCAATTTCCAATATCGTCTGCTCTATTATTTTCGGAAAGCGATTTGAATATTCTGACCCACTTTTTGTACAATTTTTGAAAGCCATTGGCGAAGTTCTTGCCATCATAGGTGCAGCTAGTGTGGCGGACATGTTGCCTATTGTGCGCTTTCTCCCTGGGGATCTGTTCAAATTTAAGAAGGCAAAGCAGAATAGCGATACCATCATTTCACTTCTTATAGAGCCTATGATAAAAGAGCATTTGCAGAACCATGATGGGGATAACGTTGACGACTTCATCCACGCCTACATCAAGGAAATGCGATTTCGGAAAGAAAAAGAAGTGGAGACGAAATTAGATTGTAAGTATTAAGGGAATGAAGACAATTCACAACCGTAACGTTAATGGTTTCCGAAATGAAACGCAAATGTTTACCCAGATTTCATCAAGTTGAGCACTCGGATTTATTACACTGTGATGAGTTCATTAACATTGCGTGTCTGTTCAGGATGTAAGAGATATCCCCACCTGGATCAACAGATCCCAGTACATGGAAAGGGACAGAGATCTGTGATATGTTGACTATTTACCATTCCCTGTGTTACTCGGTTGATATTCTGTTTCAGTGGAGAACCTGGTCATGGTTATTAGAGACCTATTCGTAGGAGGGACAGAAACTACTTCCACTACAATTCGATGGATTCTGGTCTACCTACTCAGTAACCCGGATGTGCAGGAGAAGTGTTTTCAAGAGATCAAGGAACACATCGGCCAGAGCAGACGACCTACCATGAAGGACAAGACCAACCTGCCCTACGTGGAAGCAACCATTAGGGAAGCTTTGAGACTATCAGATATCATCCCTACATCTCTCCCACACGCTGTTCCCCATGATGTCCAGTTTAGGGGATACACGTTCCCAAAAGGTGTACAGGTCATAGTGATGCTTGATTCCGTCCTACAAGACCCGGATGTATGGGGTGACCCAGAAAGCTTCCGGCCTGACCGTTTCCTTGACGACAGTGGCAAGATTATTAAGAAAGAAGAATTCATTCCGTTCTCTCTAGGTGAGTCCAACACAGCCTCTAATGTCGTGTATACATTAACGAATTATAACTTACCTTGTTGTTTCCTCAATTCTAACTATATTCGTACACACTGACCAGATGAAAACCCTACCATGTACCAGCAGTGTTTGAAACAATATCAGCAAATTGTGAAACATACTAAGTCGATCCTGTTACATGACATTAATGGTGACACGAGTAGATCTGGTACATCTGGAACAAGGAAAACTGTAAGAGTTGATACTGTAGGGTTGTAAATGTTTCAGGTCGAAGGGTGTGTTTGGGTGAGTCGATGGCCCGGATGGAGTTGTTCCTCTTCCTGACCACCATGATCCAGAGGTTCAAGTTTGTCCCCGTGGACGGCCAGATGCCTTCCTTGGATGGACTTATCGGCATAACTCATTCCCCAAGACCATTCGTCATGAAAGCAATTCAAAGGATTTGAGCGTGACAACCCAAGAAATATTTCAGCTTCCCGAACATGTTTCAATTGTGATGCGTCGAATATCAAACTCAGTCATGCCCTAGCGTGAATCATTCTTATTTTCCGAAAGTATTTCCATTAGAAACTACATGTTTTTGTCAAGTGAGGGTCACTGGAAAAAGTCCACATTTACAAGCGTGTAAATGTCTCGTAAAGATGAGGTTTACAAGACATTTACAATTTTGGAAAGATGAGGTTTACAAGACATTTGCAATTTTGTAAATATGAGATTTACAAAAAATTACAATTTTGGAAATGTCCACAAAGGGAGATAACTGGTTGGTAATGAACTCCTCCAGTATGTAAATGAATGTTCTTTTGTACGTCTCAAGACCTACTGCCTTGTTAATTGATGAGTGAGTCAAATCAGTTAAGACGAATAATGTCATGCTTCTCTCAGAGTGACGGAAGTTAATTTATATAGCATTTCTTATTAAATTAAATATTTCTTTTTCGTCCGAACAGAATTCACATATTACGTATGTTGTTTTTGTTGTGTGTTTTATTTGTGTGTGTGTGTGTGTGCGCGCGCGCGCGCGTGTGTGTGCATGCAGTCATACATAACATCTAAATTGATAGTTAATTGATAATAATTTCACACTTCAAAATGAACTGGAGCATGAACATTTTTCATGTTATCACATGAGCTTCGAAACATGGAATGAAATAAATGCTGTATGATGAAATGGGTCAGGAACATTATAATGACATAAGTGACGCTTTAATGACATATGTAATGGTAAGAAATATATAATCACTACGTTAATTAACTCATGACCATACACGTCAAACTGGTACCGTTAGATTTATATCTAAGATGTAAAGATAAAATATTTCTTAGTAACTGAAATATGATTACAAGAATTTGGAATGAGATCTATTTGTTAGAAAGCAGTTTTCTAAAGTAGAACTTTAATCAACTTCAAAAGATTGGTCATTCGCAAACTGAAGCAGATCTCACTTATACTGCAGTAAACAGTATCGGGGTACATAACGAAACATACCACTTACGTGAAAAAACTCCTGTTTATTGCATAGAGCAGCATTTCGATGTACATCGTTCAGGATAAACAAGCTGATTGAATGTTGATTGATTCCATCACTTGGACAATGGAGTGGATTTCGACTTTGTCATAATGAAGTTGATTTACAGATAGAGTCTGTCACACAGCTGTTCAATTAGCATCCAATCAGCCTGCTTACAATCTGTTGATCTTACTCTCCTGCTGGCCCCATCCAACGGTGTGCTACTTGCTAAATTACCTGTTGTTGTTGTTGTTGCTGTTGTTGATGTTGTTGTTGTGGTTAATCTTCTACTTGTCACTTGTTCCCTAGTATGGTGATCAACCTTCAGTTGCTGATGATCTAAAGCCCGCTTTTTATATTGTACTCTAGTGATTTATTTTTATGATAGCGTACTAGTTGTAAACTAAGAGTTTTCATAGTCTAGTATTTTTACTGTCCTTCGATGACAGGTTTTTATGTTCTAAATTTCTTGATTTAAATATTGACATAAATGAAATTGTTCTCGTCACGATATGGCTGCAATATTGCCGATATGATATAACTCAGTCTCTTTGAATGTACAGTTTACATTCTAATAGGAACTGATGTACATTTTCACAAGCATTGCCATCTTTCATGTTGAAACGATACAGATCATATTTCATGCAGAATCTTTCATGTTGAAACGATACAGATCATATTCATAAATATTAACTCACTCACTCACTCACTCACTCACTCACTCACTCACTCACTCACTCACTCACTCACTCACTCACTCACTCACACTCACTCACTCACTCACTCACTCACTCACTCACTCACTCACTCACTCACTCACTCACTCACTATGCATATATACCTATCTAGTTGTAGTAACTTTTATTTTGATAACGGTGTGAGAAGAGACATGGTTCCAAACGCCCCTCTATGCATCAACAAGAACTCGGCCTCTGTAAAGTCGTACTTTAAGAATACCTATTAAACAGGTATTGGATTACAATTGGCGTTGTGTTCTCAATGCAGGTTTTAACATTTTCTAAACAAATATACGTTCCTTCGTCGCGGGTGTCACTACAGAGACATATTTTATATCAATACATCAAAAGATGAACATGCAGATGTCGCTTCAAGCCTTTTAAGAATCGCATTAAGCATCAGGCGACTGTAGATTTGAACACTTTTCTAAAACTATTGTCATATAAGTGGTAATAATTCCTGAGCATTAAAGACCAGATTGGCTTGTTTATTTTGGAATTTAAAGCTTTTCATAAACTAGAATCTCAAATACTTTTTTCTCTCTGGAATTATATGTGATATGAACTGATTTCTCTACAAATTATTTAACGTGATCTAACATGAATTATGTATAATGTTATAAACATTCAGTCAGCTTTTATTGTAAATGACCAAATTAATTAGTTACACTATGATTTATTTACGAAGGAATTCATTTGTCTTGTTTTTCCGTATAACTAGTCAGCTCAATTATGATCTGTATCGTTTCAACATGAAAGATTCTGCTTCTTGTTACTCTGGCAATGCTTTTGAAAATGTACATCACTTCCTATTAGAGTGTAAACTGTACATTCAAAGAGAGATATTAATGTTAAATTAAAAAAGTATATTGTGAAACGTGACTCTCCAATCACATTGCCATTGATGTTACTTGGAAGTCCTGATATGACTATTCAACAGAATGAATACGTTTTCAAATGTATGCAAACTTTTATTCATCAATCAAAACGTTTTGAGTGATCACATAAGTTGTGTCCTTCCTCTCTTCTCTCTCTAACTTTCCTATCTCTTCTCTCTTTTCTTTCCTAAGATGTATATAATTGAAAAGGTATGTATGTAAATATTAGGGAGCGGGTATTTTAAGCTGGATAACCTGTCCCCAATCCCTTTCACATTTGTAAATAATATATGTTTAAATCAAATCAAGGCCAATATATCACCATTGTCTGCTTTTGTCCACTCCTCAAATCGTACGTGTTACAAACAATAGGAGTGGGTGAGTGAGTATGGTTTTACGCTGCTTTTAGCAATATTCCAGCAATATCACGGCGGGGGACACCCGAAATGGGCTTCACACATTGTGCCAATGTGGGGATTCGAACCCGTGTCTTCGGCGTGACGAGCGGACGCTTTAACCACCAGGCTACCCCACCGCCCCCAAACAATATGAACCCACGATATGTTTATAATTCTACCATGACTTCAGTAAACACTGGATTGTGATTGGTTATTTAAGTCATTCAGAGGTATATAATCACGTTATACAGGTCTCTGATTTTCCGTGCGCAGTCATACATGGTTTATGGTAATGCACTATTTTTGTCTGCCCACCAACATGGCGGACACCAAACAACCTACCGATGCATCGATACATTACGGCGATTTTGCTGTCGGAAATTACACATATGTCTTTAAAGATGGATTTAGCGATGACGGACTCGACTCACTACTTGCGTAAATCACAGCAATAGGTGTTTATACATACAAAAGTACTTCGAAAGCATGGAAACAAATATTCAGTCGAACAAGATCAAAACATCGTCTGCTTTCCGAATAAAAATTCAGCAAAAACAAATATGTTTACGTTGATTCTATGTTATGTCAGAATAGATCCAGCAATAGACTGCTACATAATTTCCGTTTTAAATTTATTATCAGCTTTCGTCAACGATATCGCCACTGATCTTGATCCGGTAACGGAGGATGCATTAACATCGAACGCCGAAGAAATTTTAATGCCTTCCGTCCACATAAATAAACAGTTGGGTTATCAATTCAAACAAAATGATATTTTGAAATTTGTACTGTTTCAAATTTAGCGGTAGTAAAACACAATTACAGAATCTGCAAACCGTTCTGTTAAGCCCAACATATTTTTTTGTAAAAGTATAATATCGTTGAAAAAGTTATTTAGTTTAGACATGATCCCTCTTATCCATTACACTGCTTGATCTAAAGTAGACTATTAAAGTATAATTAATTACCTTACCGTGTTTAAGCCAGAGGTACACCCTCATGTCCTGATCCTTCCTTTCGGAAATATCACCACAAATCTGGCTCTTTGTCAACAGACTCGCGAACATGCCAGCGAATCTGATTCAATTTGAATTCACTACACTTTGAAGCCACTAGGTCACAAAACACTTTCCAAAATGTAGAAAAAAATATCCGGTTTTAAATGAAATTTAGAGCTATTATAATTTCGGTATATACCTCTGATTTTCCCATACAGTAGGTTTATCTCCTAAGTATACACTGTAACATATTGCGGATTACAGTGAATCCGCTGAAATGTTCTAGACCTAGTTCTGTTGGAGTGAAGACGACACAGTTGTGAGCGGGTCATTTTCGTGCGAGTTGACAAGCACCTCTGAAAGGCATATGTCCGAGATATTGTGACACCTCTGTGCGTTTTTACCGTGTCCAGTCTCTCGTACCTTCAGGTGCCCACTGCACTAGACAAGACTCTGTGACTGTTACCATCAGGTGCATATTTCACTAGACTACATCCATTCTCTGTTATCACCAGGCACACATTGCACTAGACTAGACCTATTATCTGTTATCATCAGGCACACATTGCACTAGACTAGACCAATTATCTGTTATCATTAGGCACACATTGCACTAGACTAGACGCATTATCTGTTATCACCAGGCACATATTGCACTAGACTAGACCCATTATCTGTTGTTATCATCAAGCACACATTGCACTAGATTAGACCCATTATCTCTTATCACCAGGTACATATTGCACTAGATAAGACCCATTATCTGTTATCACCAGGCACACATTGCACTAGACTACACCCATTATCTGTTATCATCAAGCACACATTGCACTAGACTAGACCCATTACCTGTTATCATCAGGCACACATTGCACTAGACTAGACGCATTCTCTGTTATCATCAGGCACACATTGCACTAGACTAGACCCATTCTCTGTTATCACCAGGCACATATTGCACTAGACTAGACCCATTATCTGTTATCATCAAGCACACATTGCACTAGATTAGACCCATTATCTCTTATCACCAGGTACATATTGCACTAGATAAGACCCATTATCTGTTATCACCAGGCACACATTGCACTAGACTACACCCATTATCTGTTATCACCAGGCACACATTGCACTAGACTAGACGCATTCTCTGTTATCATCAGGCACACATTGCACTAGACTAGACCCATTACCTGCTATCATCAAGCACACATTGCACTAGACTAGACCCATTACCTGTTATCATCAGGCACACATTGCACTAGACTAGACCCATTTTCTGTTATCACCAGGCACACATTGCACTAGACTAGACCCATTCTCTGTTGTCATTAGGCACACATTGCACTAGACTAGACCCATTCCCTGTTATCATCAGGCACACATTGCACTAGACTAGACCCATTTTCTGTTGTCATCAGGCACACATTGCACTAGAC